AGCTGATTTAAATAAAATTCTGCAAACCAGAATATCACGAATTTTAACAATGTAACCTGAATATCCAGTGTACATTTTTACTTTCTTCATAAAAAGAAAAGTTATTATATGGAGACTGGAATAAATTAATTTTTTAATGTTAATTGTAACTTATTTTTTATTCCTTGTGTAAAAATTGCTATAACTGGCACAATATATACAGTGATAGACACCATACCTCTTGAGGTATTTTGTTTATTTTGAGGAAAGTGGTTATTTCTTGAGAGAGATGCCAGTAGCAGCAAAGCAGCCAGAAAAGTGGTTCTACTCACATGCTTTGCAATCTTAGTGTTTTCCAGTATAGGTCCTAATGCAGGGGAAAGAAGCGGTGTTTGTTTATCTTTCAGTTGAAGAGCAGTGTAACCACCACTGCTTGATAAAACACTATAATTGGATTGCTGATTTTATGGAATCTTAGTGACTGAGCTTTGCAGTCCCATATCCTCATGGCATAGCAAACCAAGAGAAATGCAGAGGCACTATGTGTCTGAGTGCATCCACTTTGGTAGTGTTTTATTTCTGTTGTGAACTGGCTTAATTGGCTTGGGCTGTATGAAGTTAACAAAACTCAACTGGAAAGAATGGAGCAGGATTTTAAAGTCTAAAGTGCTCAAGCAGAAGCTGAGGATATGAAATGCATATCCCATGTAAAAGTCTTACTTCTCCTAATGCACAGAAAGTACCAGAGAGGCCAGTGCAGAAGGAAAGACTGTTTGAACTTGTCAGGGTTCTCCTGCAGGTGTCCCCTTGGGCGGGATCACTTCACCTTGTGAAGTTCAGTGAAATGCCCTTCTTGCCCTTCTGGCACTTGCCATCCTCTCTCCCCTAATGACACTAAGTCAGCAAAGAAACCTCTTAACATTGAGACTACTCTAGCAAGAAGCTTTGTGTTTGCTTTTGCCTAACTTGCTGCTCAGGATAAAATAAACAGAGGTTTTCCTAAGCTGTAAGAGAGGGTGAAGACAGCAACTGAGCTGCTTATACACAAATCCAGCACTTTTCAATAAAGTGGACTGTTCTTACTGAGAATCTTTTTCACAGCCACTTTCAGACTTGTCAGCCATAGACCAAATAAGCTTTGTAGCCTCATTCTTTGACTGTAAAGAAGCCTTTTTAGGCCAAGAAAGTGAGTGGTTCAGGAAAGCACATGGATGTTCCACTGCCATCAAATCAAGGAACTTCAGGGCCTTCTCTGGAGCACACTGGTTTTATATTATCTTAGCAGACAAGCTGAATTGCTCTGACACTGATGAATATTTTTTGTGAGACAGGAGTAAAATACGAATGAGATGCAGTAGCATCCTACTTCAGAGACACGGGAATCTCTGAGGTTCCACTGCTTTTGTGGTGATTGATTTTTGTTTGTTTACTCTTTATTAAGCTGTTTGTGAATAGCAAAAAGCCCCAATATGTGGCTCAGACCTCAGGCTGTTCTGAGGGTGTTCTTGTTTTGGTTTTTGGGGGATGTGTGTTTGTGGTTTTAGTGTTGGGCTTTTTTAATCTTTCTTTCTGTGGGCTGTGGATGAGACAATTCAATAGAGAATCAAGTTTGAGGAAGTCTTTAAGCGGTATAGATGTTTTATATGGAGGGTGTAATGCTCTAAAGTCTGAGAGCGTTTGTTTGGCGTTTTTCATGACCTAAAAGCAGAAGACTGCAAAATACTTAAACCATTTCCAAAGGTATTGATATTCAGGAGTTCTAGGAGTTTTTTGAACCACAATGAGGGAGCATATAAGTGTGGCATAAACAGAGTGGGCATCCTAAGTTGTCCTTCATGGACTGTGCTGCAAGTGAAGGTGTGGAGGACGAGCCTGTGGGGCAATAGTGGCATTCTGAAAAATGTGTGTGAGAGTAGATTTTGCTACTTCTCCCTTGTGATTCTTTACATTCTTTCTGCTGTTTTCAGGAACATACAAAGATCTTTCTCACTAGGTGATGCAACAAACATAGTTATTACACTTTAATTGCATTCCCATTTGCTTGTCAGGTTTATCTTTCCTAGTTGGTGGAAGTGGTCTTTCTTTTTGTGTGGTCTGTGATATTTCCTTAGCTGACTTGAAAACAATCCTCCTGAGAAGTATGGACTTCTGCAGTCCAGCTTTAGCAGTAGTGTCTTGCTACTTTGTAGGTCATTTCAGATACATTGTAAGAATCCTAAAATGGGTAAGAGCATGGGAAAATAGCAGAGCTGCATGAGTGAAAAATTTTGCTTCATAAATCAGAAACAATTTTTTTAAATTCTCTGGGCTTCAGAGGAAAATGCTGTACTGTTTTGTCATGAGAACATCTTAAAAGGATTTGCTATAAAGCTATGCAGCTGTGGAAATCCCCGGGCTTCTCTGGAGTTCTGTGAGAGATTTCCTGTTTGTTCAGCTGAAATTTGGTGCAGATTTCACAATTGGCCGTTTACTTCTTCTGGAGGCAATTGTGGAAGAGAGATGCCAAACTAATGTTTTTTGGTATTCATTAATGGGATCCTCTCTGGTCTTGCAGGTTTGGGTTTTGACTCCTGATATACCTCTAGTTGAAGGATGTAGTAACTTTGGGAAGGTGGGCGGTTTGTGACAACACAGTAATATTTGCATGAAAAGCAGGACTGCATGTCTGAAGCCAGTTTCAGGACTATTTATTTTCGGTTTTGGTTTATTCTTAATGCAAGTAAAAGTTATGGGTGGAAGAGTGAGTAGAGTGAGGATTTATTTTGTGGTTAGCTGTGGATTTTTTTATTAGTCAAGTGTTAAAAAATGAGTTCTGGACTTGCTGTGTGGCTGACTACATACAGCAGCCCTTTAGGGGCTTTTTTGGATTGGTCTATGTCGGTTTCTCCTTTTCTCCTTCAAATTTCAGAGAAAAATAACAGCTATCTGGCAGTGCAAAACACTCTGGCCTAACACTGCTGCTTCTGTACGTGGAAGGGGATGGAGAGAAAACTTCTGCATCTCTTGGTACAAAGATGCATCAAATATCCAGGCTTCTGCTTACCTTGTGTCACTTACATGTGAATTACTAAACATATTATCAGCACATAAGTTGGCTTCTGCAAAGTAGCAGGAGCTTGGCTGTATGGTGTGTTTGAAGTAGTGCAGTTATTAATGCACATTTTCAAACAGTACAATCATGCCGGATCAAGGTAAATGATAACAGCAAACTTGCAATAAATGGCAGAGGAAATGTTTTTGTTGGGAAAATACTTTTCCCTTAGGTTGACTTAAAACACAGGTATAGGTGAATCTTGGTTTTCAGACTTGTATGGTACAGTCATAATTTCAATTCAAGCAGTCTAAGTTGTCCAGAGTTGCAGAATATGTCATGAAGGATAAGGAAATGGTTTCAGCTACTGTTTGTAAAATAATTAATCCTCAAAGAGCAAACTGTGTAGGTATATATTCTGTTATATGCACCTGCCAGCTTCTCAGATTTCATTTTGCTGTAATGTTAAACGGTCTTTTAAAATAATGGAAGTGGAATAAAACAACTTGATCAAATATTTAATAATTTAAGCTGTGTAGAACATGTGCACAGACTGATCGTGGTTTTCTTCTCTCACTTTGGTACAAAGCTGTAGTGCTATAATGAAACTTTACATGACAAAAGAAGAAATGGAAAAAAAATAAAGTTCTTTATATTGTTATGGTTTGTCTGTTTCTCCTTTGTTTTAAATAGAATGATTCTTTCACAGGATTTGGTAGAACTTGACTTTGTTCTGGATTTTCTTCCTCTTCTCTGAGTGCTGGATAAAATCAGGCAGTCCACTTTGAAGCTCCAGCAGTGGCAGGAATGTTACAGGTATGCAGGAACCTCAAACCTAGTCATTTGGCAAGGAAATGAAACTATCCATCCAACTCATGCCTCCAGATGTGCTGCCTGCCTTGCTTCATGGCCCATTGCAAGGGAAGTTCTCTGGAGCTTGTTGGTAGTTCACTCACCAGAGCTGCAAGGACCAGTTTTCAGTGGCCAGTTAAAAATCCTGATTTTGATCTTTTGACTGATAGATTTTGGTTTTTCTCTGAACATCCCAGCTAAGAGCATCTCTGCCATACTTGTATGGAAAATAATATGCCTCAATGGAGGCAAGGCATGACTGAAGCCAGGGCTCCAAGTGTTCCAGTCATCTTAAAAATTATTTGGGTTAAAATCCAATTGAATTTGAATGAGAAAAATTTTTCTTTAGATAAATGGTAGGATTTTCTTCCTCTTCCAGAGTAAGTTACAGTGCAAGACAACACTAAGAACTTTATAGCCAAAAGGTTTTCTTCTTAGTGACCTTTCATTTAAATGTACTACTCACTGGAATAACTTTGAGTGGATGCTATGATTTGTTTTTCAAATTTTGCTTTACATTAGTGAATTGCTTTGCTACTTTTTGCCACTAGAGAACTAAGTAAAAGGTTCTCCTGACAAAGTCTTGTCTTCCTTGTATGTTTTTTTCTTCCATTTTTTATTTTGTACCTGTGAAAACCTGTCATCCTTTAAGCTGGTAGCAAAGGAACCTCTCAAGTGCTTTTTTTTTTATTTATTCAAGGAGTAAACTGGAAAATATTTGAGACATTAAACTAGTTTTACACTTGCCATAAACTCCAAAAGCTGCTGTATATTTAGGAGAATGATGGAAGAGTGCTCAATATTTCATCTTCATCTGTTCTTTCAGAATAAAACGAAAAAGCCTAGGCCAAAATGCAGTTGATTTTATTTTTGGTTCCATTAAACTAATTGTACTTGCCCACTGGAATAATATTCCCAAAGTGGTCATGCTGACGCAGTATTTGATTCTGCTACAAGTCACCTCTTGCAATAAAGAAATGCATGATAGTGTTGGGAAATAGGACCTGAGGTAGGGGAAATATATGTGTGTAGATATATAAATTTGTACGTGTAAGAGGTTTTCTGCCTCAAATGGCAAGTAAGTTTCTCAATGTTATAGGGAATGCAGATACAATGAAAAACACTTATAATGTGCACATTTGTAATTAGGACGGGTACTAAAAATGAGAGCAAATTGCTCCTTTCTGGTATTTCTGCTGAGGCATTAGATCAAGCTGTACTCTGGTATTGCAGTCTGTTGTGCCCTGCTCTCCCATTCCTACATAGCAGAGATCCAACCTGCACAGCCATCTGTAACTGAGTCATTGGGTTGCATAATATTAATGTAATTAGCACAATCTCATGTGAAATACTCAGTAAACATTACAAAGAGATGAAAGAATAATACCAAGAGCAGGACAAACAGTTAATGACCAATTACAAAGTGGCAGTAAACACCTCTGACTTTCACAGTTAGAAGCAGTCCTAGTTTCACCTGACTTGAGAGAAGACCATTCAGCTGTCAGCACAAGCAGAACAATTATTTGTTCTCTATGTCTTCACCATGCAGAGAAAGCTTAATTCAGTCATTAATAAATTAATCCCTGTTGCCCAAAGGAAAAATACCAAGATGCTATAAGAGTAGTTACAAAATATGTGTACTGTTTTGTCTACTGGAGTACAGCTGTCTTTCTTTCCAAGGGCTTCTTCCCACGTGCTGTTCATCTTGGCAAGTGAATGACATAATTAGGAAGTACTCTTGTTTGTCCTTGGGATGAATGGTGCTGGCTCCTTGGAAGTGTCCAGTGTGTTCTTGATGGAGGTGGCCGCTGGCTCTGGTGTTACGCGTACAGCGTGAGCTGCAGCCACTGCAAGAAGAATTAAAGGATGGAAGAGTTGTTGGCATCCTCCCACAAACTGTGTGGAGACACCACCATCTCTAGCTGGAAGGCAGCTGCTTGCTGTCACTTAGCATGAAGTAGAGTGGCAGTGGGGAATTTTCTTGAGTATCTTGCTCCTATTTCTCCCTTCCTTGCAAAAAGTGAAGGGTGTTTTTAATGGTCTCCCTAACAGAGGACATACTTTGAAGTTGAAACTTTCTAATTCTTAATAAGATTTTTAAAAGGTGAAGACCTATGCTAAGCCCCAGTATCATTTAATACCATATCATTGTGTTTAATCTAAATTGCCTCACAAAAAAAATCTCAAAAGTTTTTTGATGAACTTTAAAGATGATAGTAAGAGGCTGCAGCCATGCCCTTCAGCACCAACTGGAGTCTTACAGAGCAGCTGTTGTGGGCAGATCATGGATGTTTTCTGTGTAAAATGGGTACCAAAATTTTAGGAGGTTTTGGGGTTTCTTACCAATTGGGTGGCTATTTTAGATGAACTCTATTCATAGAGTTTTCCCTTGAAAACATGTACACTGATTAATACAATTAAAACTTAGTATTGTGACGTTGTGTTAGACATACTCTCATAAAGCAGTTTACCTCCAGGACATTGAGCTTAATGATGCCGTCTCCGTCTTTGTCAAAGGCGTGGAATGCCCCTAAAGTAAGGAAACAAAAATCAGGGAGTAGATTAGGTTAGTAAAGATGATTTGCAGACAGGAAATCAAACGGTGCTCCCATTGTGAAATGCCGACTGGTGCAGATCTTTACCTGTGAGGTCAGCAATTGTTTGTGCTGCATTTTTCCTTAGTTAATTCAAGGAGAGACACAGTTGTTTCTTTTGTGTTTGTATGAGACAACTTGTAATCGTAGATTCCCTAAGCACATATCTGTAATAATTAGCACCCTACAGAGGTGTTGGGAAGGATGAGGATTTAACGGAGGAGTTTTCCAGATATGCAGGAGGTTCTATAGGAATGAAAGCGAGTTTTGATATAGAAGAAAAGAATTGCTGAGCCAGTCTTACTGGGTGACTAGAAGGCAAAGAGCAAGTGAGTTGGAAGGGGCTTTTATGGCTTAGAGCAAAGGATAAATCCACCTCAAACAAAAGATGTTTCTTCACCAAACAAAAGGATTTTAACAGGCAAACAAGAAAGCCAATGTTGCAAGTAGAGAAGTGATCTCAGAAATTTCCACTGCAGAACAAGTCCCAAAGTTTAACATGTAACTACTAACTCCGATGATTGGCTAGTCACTAACATGATATGGTAATTTTAGCAATTTTGATAGTTTATATGTAAATGTAAAAGGTATTGTGTATGATGTTGATTGGTAGTCATGTATTAAGATGCTCTGTAATGAAAAGTATATAATGCTTTGTAACCAGAACTAGAGAGCCTTCAGGACACACGGCTTGCCTATGTCCAGCAGCTCTAGGCTCACCCACGACCCTCAACTGCTGTAACCTCGTCTGTGCAATAAACAGCATTTTAAAAGCCAGTTGAAGCCTCCGTCTCTCCGTCAGGCTCTTACACATCGGCAGTAGTGCTATGAACAAACTTTGCTGTGGGGCTCTGAGCAATGTGGTACAGTGCACGGTGTCCCTGCCCACAGCAGGGGGTTTGGGACCAGATCATCCTTCGGGAGCTTTTGAAGGCAGGCCCTTCCATGGATCCATGGCTGTGTTTGGGGCAGGAGGGGAGGCAGCGCGCGCAGCCACTCACGGAACATGGCGTCCAGGCGCACGAAGCAGCAGATGAAGCTGTCAAAGTCGATGTTCATGTTCTTGTCGGCGTAGCGCATGGTGATGATGTCGTAGAGCTGGTTGTTCAGCCGAAACCCTGCAGGGAAGGGAAGCACAAAGCTGGGCCTCGGGCGGGGAAAGCGCTGCGCCATGAGGGGTTCGGCCACATGCGCTCCCCTGGCCCGGCCTCAGGGAGGCTCGGGCTGGAAGTCCTGCTGCTACTGCTAAACAAAATGAAGCTACAAGGAGCTTCACTGTGTCCAGCTGCCTTCCTAAACCAGGAGCAATGTTTTGAAGTTACGCTTTGAGGGGGCCCTTAGCACACAAGTTACCTCAGGCTGTGAGTGAGGAGAGCTGTGGCCCCAGAGGGCCTGGTGGCTCAGCTGGGCCTGCTGAGAGCAAATCAGCTAAAATGGGGGGACAGAAGTGCTGTAAAAACAAAATTAAACTGTGGTCAGAAAATAGACAAGGAGGCAACTCCTTGGTGTGGTGGGACTGAATGCTGCAGCCTGTGCCTTGAAAGGGTCTGTCACAGTCTGGGTAAAGCTGCTTGTTGGCTAAATGCAAAGTCATGCACAGCTCATGTTCTGTAAGAATGAAACGTTCTTAGTTCTAAAGTCAGGGCAGGAGGTATTTATACATTTTCTCTTTTTACAGTGACAACTTCCCTGATAAGAACAGAAACCCAGAAAATAAAAATTACCCAAATTTCTACCACAGCAGGAGTCCAAATGTAGGTGTAGTTTTGTCTTTGGCAAAGGATTACAGAATCGCTGAGGTTTTGTAAAGTACAAGTTAGCCATTCATTTCTGTACCTTGATGTGCCAAAATAGTACTGAAAACATAATCACTGAAATAATCCTATCTAGCTTTATAGAGATATTACAGACTTTCTAATCAAAGAGGTTATCTCACTCCCTTAGAAACCTGGTGAAGACATTTCTGGGGGGAGGCCTGCTCCCCAGAGGGAGAAGCACACTGGTGTGTCTGAGACAAGCAAGACAAGCAAAAAAAGTCCAAAGTCTCTCTTTTCAGAATGAATTTCATTAACTGCAAGATTTGCAAAAATACCTTTTTCTCATTGTGCAGGTAGAAGAAACTGAACCCACAGTGGCTCAGTACTGGAGAAACATTAACATGACTCAAGAAATGCTCACCCAATTGCCTGTGATGCAAACTTGGACATGGACCTGCTCCATCCTGGTTTCAGTGCCTGTACACTTAGGTTGAAGGTTTTCCACTGTTCTTTGTTTGTTACTTACACAAATGTATAGAATCCACAGCTTAAATGAGAGTAAATGTCTTCAGCTCTCCCTGAATAACAGGACCCTGAGTAGGAGATCCTTAAAGACAGCAAAGCATCACTCATTGCATTAAAGAAGAGCTGAAGAGATCTATTTGCTGGCAAGACATCCAAGGCTTGCCATTTGGATATTTGAGAACCTCTGTCTGTGGAAAAAATATTTTATAATTTCTCTAGGATCTGTCCTTAAAAGGCAGCACTGTGTTCAGTGATCTCACCCTGTGATTCACCAAAACAAAACAAGGTTTCTTCAGGTGTTGGGCACTGCCCAGGGGAAAGTACCTGCATCATTGACTGCATTGCGCATCTCGTAGCTGTTAATGGTTCCTGAATGATCCGTGTCATAACGCTTGAAAATTTTCTGGAGAAAGAAGAAAACACATACACATTAGTAATAAAAACTTGCACTTCTCTTGAATGTACCCTCTGAGTGGGTAAGGGATGTGTGCCTCAGGCACCTGGAGGCTTTGCCACGTGCCTTATATTGCCACTGTTGGGCAGTCTGGGTTGTTAGCACAGTTTCCCTCAGTTGCAAATTAAAATAATTTAGATCCCGTCTCTGAGAAGCAAAAAAACTCTCCCCTTGAGACTCCTTGTTTGCCTTGAGTTTTTGCTGGTAATCCTCCCTCTTGATTGCCCTAATTAAGCTATTATTGAGGCCTGATTGTAGTTCCCATCATTCTCCTCCTTCAGTTTGTATGCCTCTCTGCTATTTGCATGGGGGAAGGCTGTACATGAGAGATTCAGGCTATATGCTTAGGCTGTGAAGTAGGATGAGGAAAGACATTTCATTTTCAAAGTTAATTCACAATTACTTTTTAGCCTTTCTTTTTGATGGAGTGTATGTGGAGAGTTCTAGTTTTCCTGTAAAGCATTTGCACTGCAGAAGCTGTGAAGAACTGTGAAGATACCAGCAAAATACCTGCCAGCTTTTAATCTTGTCCCAGAGATGTCGAAATTCATCAAAGTTTATCTTCCCTGAGCCATCTGTCTGTGATGCAAACATTCAGGTAAAAAAAACCACAATATTTTTAGGATAAAATTAATTAAGTCTGCAACTATTGGTGAAGGGATGAATGTGAAACTGTGTTGGGGATCTCATCAGGATTAAGAGTTGACTCAGCTGTGCAGTAAAATATTTGTAAACATTTTGGTTATTGTGCATAGCATAATGCTTTAGAAGTGTGAAGTACTACTTGTACTTTGTGTAGAAGCCAACTTCTGGTACAGGGCACAGCTTTGCCTCTGGAACTGTTCTAGAAATTCATGAGTAGGATGTTTTTAGTGGGCTCTTCTGAAATACCTCCAAATGTGAAGCTCACCCAATGCTTTTTAAGACAACTGAGCTTTTCTCTGGAGTGAAGCTCTTTCTGCCTTGTTTAAAATGAATTGAGAAATACACAAAATGTTGACTAAAGCTCTTTTCAAAAATGTGTTTAGGCTCCAACCATTATGGCTGTGGGTTGTAGTTACACTTTTGTTCTGGTTATGCTTGAATGCACTTACATTCTCTCAAAATTGTGTTATGTCAAACTGGAAAATTGAGGGTGGTTGTGGTAGAGGAAACCATGTGGCATCTTGTAGTGTTTTATTGCACTTGTTCTAGACAAGTTCTGGCTGCATTGCAAGCTGAGCATACAGTAAAATAATGTGATATGAACTTAAAGAGATAAATATAGTAAGTTTATTGGCAAGAACTATAGTTATGTTGAGCTTGTTTTAAATATAATAATAAAAAAATTATGGTTTAGTACATAATGTGGCCAGTCTCTGATGCCTAAAGAAGAGTGTCATACTGACTGATTTATTCTCCAGATTTCTTTCTGGGGATATTTTTCTCTACCAATTATGCTAATGTTGAGATGACTGGAATTCAGATGTGCCAAAACAGGAGTGCTTTTTAAATCTGACTACAGACTACAATTACTTTGTTGTTGTTTTTTTTTCCCTGTCTTGCTAGGTTGTTCATGTATGTGGTAGTGAGAAATACTGAACTTGAGTGGTTTCAAGCAATCCCTTTTCACCAGAAAAGGATACATCCATTAAAGCAATCATGCTGCGGCAGGATTCCAACTCAAACCCTTCTGACCTTAGGTCCTTATCTGAAACAAATGATCCCAGGTGAATACAAATCATGCAAATCAGCAAGTGATTTTCCTCTCAGGTGTAACTCTAATCAAAGTAAAAGCCAAATCTACTTCCTTCATCCAGTAGGAAATGAGTGGTAGAGAAATCTGAAAAGACTCTCAGTAATGTTATTAATAGTCTGTGAATTTTCTTGACTTGTTATATACAATATAAAACTCTGGAAAACTCTAAACTAACTTCTAGGTTACTAAGCAAGTCCAGGGTCTGCAGGTTAAAGTTTGCTAAACAGTAAAAAAGGTCTGTCTCTCCACTAGAAATTTTTTTTAAAAGGCATTTTCAGACTGCAAGAATTGCATTATTTTCCCATATGGTAATTCTAGTGAACATATCTGCTTATTTCTAGATTATCAGTATTAACAACCTGCAGAGATAATCTCGGTGATAAGTTCAGCTTGCTAAAGTCTCAGATGCAATGTCCATGGAAATGTAACTAGGAAATTTCTGAGTCTGAAAGCATCAATAATTTTTAGAGTGCAACTCAGGGTGGGGAGTTATGCTCTGTTACAGATTTCTTTGTCCAGGGTTAGTAAAAACATGCTCAAACTCACGTTTTTTTACGACATTATTGAGAACATTCCTAAGTTCCTCAGCATTGATCTCCATGTCCTGATAGAAATGTGGTGAGAATATCATTGGTTACAGCATTCTTTATGAAATACAATTTTATGGATGGATATGCTAAAAGTGTGAAGTCTTTGGTCACTTTTCAGTAAGGCATATACATGTCTCAAACTAGAGGGCATTCTACTTCAAGTGAACATTAGTCCAACTCTTTCTTGAGACTGCAGTACAAGGTAGACCTGAAGTTATCATACAGTGCTCATTAAACTACAACTAGGAGAATGATTGTTAATTTCAAGCCAGTGTATTAGTCAAATAGCAAAATCAGAAAATTCCTGTATCCCATTTTCAGCCACTTGATTTATGCAGTTCTTTGATCTGTTTTTATCTTTAACTTTACTTCTTAAGCATGTAGCAGAGGGCACTGCATTTCTAACTTGTTTATACTTGCTGTGCAAAACAGCATCTTGTAGGAGAGATAGAAGGAAAAGGCTGAATTTAAATAATACTTCCTCAGACACAGTGGGAATAGCTTATACATACATATGAGGATAGCTGTATACTTAATGGGGTTTTTATTTTCTTTTACTTATCTTGCAATTGCAAAGCGAATTTGATGGGAGGACATTCAAAGGAAATTTTAATATTCATATTAAATTTTTAATTAATATTAAATAATAAAATAAATATTAATTAAATATTTAATTAAATATTTAATATTTAATATTCAGTATTCAGAATCTATGGACTAGTTGATTTAGGAGCTGTTGTGGCCAGGCTGCTTTGAGGGCAGAGACAGGGATTGATTTCATACTCACATCCCCTGCAATCTGTCGGAAAATATTCCTGAACTGTTTTTGTTCTTCACTCTCCTCATGAGCTTTTGTTGAAGAGCGCTGAAAAGAGACAAGCAAAGAAGAGATACATCCTGAGCCCAGTGGAGAAGAGAAAGGGCCTGCATGGTTCACTTGCTCTTGTGTGAGGGATCATAGTGAATCTGGAGGCCTTTGGAGGAATGGGCTGTCCTCACACTCCTTTCCCCATGTTTTTGTTAGTTCTGTTCCTTAAAACGCCCAAGTATTTAAGTTCATCCCATTGTTCTATTTTCTATTTGAAAGAGCCTAAATAATTACTTCCACTGGCAGTTATCTTCTAATTTTTTTTCCCAAAATATTGCAAAAGAGAAGTTTGGAGCAGAAGAGCATATCAGACAATCAAAGAATGGTTTTGGTTGAAAGGGATCTTAAAGGGATCTTGTTCAAGCCCCCCTGCTATGGGCAGGGACACTGCCCTGTAGGCTATAAATGACCATATGTGAACTCCTTATGATGTGGGGGGCCCCTTGCTGAAGACAAATAGCATGAGACAGAGGAAAACGAGGAACATGAAGCTTTCTCAGACACATGGAAAGTGCAACGCTGAACTCTGAAGCTGATACTGAAAAGGGAAATGAAAGTTATAGATTTAAAAGTGGATTTTTTGGTTTAGTTCTTGTTTTCCTTTGTCTAAATGCAGAGGAAAGTTTAGATTGGTTCTTACTTCACCAGCTGCATGCTCTAGCAGTCATGCAGCAGAACAGCACCCTCCCTGTAAGCAGATGCTCCAGCCATGCCTCCAGATGCCACAAGCCTGGATGTGGGATCTGGCTGTTAGATATGTAGAGTCACCTACCTGCAGGAAGAAACTCTGAATTTGCTACTCTGTTTTCTTCCTCTCTGGTAGCGAGGGAAAACAGGGTGGGGGGAGATGGAGTTCCTGGGTTTACCTGTCCTTTGTCCTCTGACCAACAGGGACTAGGATAGAAGTGTGTAGTTTGTAACAGGGGAGTCTGTGGTCATTGCCAGGAGCTTCTGCATCCCCCCGGGTGCAGTTTGTGCACGTGCCCTCCCTATAAAGCAGGACTGCCTCAAGGCAAGAGGCCAAGTGAGAGTGAGTGGAATGTGGGGACGGAATCTCTCACAGCCGGGATTCTTGTATGAGAGAGCAACCGGGAGATGTTGTCAAGCAATTGAGTCCTCCTGCAGAGTTGTTAAATAACTGAAGGGACAGTCTCTCTGTGCTCATGCTCATTAGATCCACATAAACCAGATGCCAATCATGTTAAGATTTGATGAGAAGCTGTTTAGTATCTCAGGACACCTCTTTGCCCTATTCCTATGCTCTCCTCAGCCACCCTTTCGTGCTAGCCAGACCAAGCCTTATTTCCCCCTCTGCCACTTGCTGCAGAAACCTTTTTCTCATCTGCTTGGGTTTTTTCGCCATCTTTGCCACCATTTTCATCTGCTGTCAGCTCCTTATTGCTGTTTGCTCTGTCAGAAACGAAGATGATAGGCTAGAAGAAGAAGAAGAAGAGAGCAAAATAGAAAGGGAAATTACACAAGAAATAGTGGAAAGAAAAATACTTGGTTACAAGCATTCCACAGATAGTGCATGCAGCAACAACTCCTGCTCTTGAAAGTATAAGAGAAGCTATTTCTTGGAATGAAAGAAAAGAAAGAATAACAAAAAGGTGGAAAGATTTCTACTGTTATCGCTCTTCTCATGCTAAAAAAGCTGCAGAAGTCTTTTTGCAAAATAGTGCAATTTCTGGGTTGTAGCTTTCCTTGTCAGAAAGACAGTAATTGAATGTGTTTGGCTTGTTGTTGTTTTTGTTTAGGGTTTCTTTGTGTGGTTTGGTTTTGTTTTTGGTATTTTAGTTGGTTTTTTAAAATTGTTTTTTGGTGGGTTTTTCCCCTTGTTTTTAAGCAAAATAAGCCTCCCAGATTCTCATCACTTAAACTGATGAGCTTGTCCCTCAATGAAGGACAGTAGCACTGAAAACAAACCAAATGTGAATTGTACACAGGAGTTATTTGTGTACGAGCTTGTTAGTTATGTGCAGCATTATGTTCTTTTTCTGTATTGATTCTTGAAGCACTCAGGTGTAAGCAGCTATATGCAATTGTTCTAGTTTGGTGCATTTAAAACAAGGAAAAAACTGCTACATGATGTGAATGCATTAGTCTAGAATATTAATTACAATCGGTCTGTCTTGGGATTAAAATATCTGATTACATTTTCAAGGTCCAAAATATGTTGTGTCAAATCAAAAATAGAATCCTGGACTTTGGTGAGCAGAAACTTCAGGAAAGGGGGGTGGCTGCTGCACTAGGCAATGGAAAGCAAGTGTGAGGGCACTGGAGAAGGAGGACTTCTCAATAGCAAGGGGTGCCAGGTTGCCTGTGAAGGGGGCAGGAAGGAAGAACAGTTTGAGCAACCCAGAGGACTGAGCTGATAAAACTGAATAGTTTGTTACCCTTTCCCCACCCCTTTGAGTGAGAGGGGTATATGATGCTGATGCTATTGCATTAGAACTTAATGTAGGAAGACAAAATCTTTGCTGCATGCAAATGGCCTTGCATCCAGTGCCCTTCATTAACTAGGTCAGTTTCCAACACAGAGAAAACTATAATACCAATAATGTAACACCAGTGCCCCTGCTCATGCATTGCACATGCTCTTTGCCTTGCTGGCACTTAGCACATTGCACATGTACATACCTTGCCCTTTTTCTTCTGTGCAAAGAGACAAAATTAAAAAGCACTTGATCAGATTATGCAGAGCTGATGGCAAACTTTCAAATTTTTATTTTTCCCTTTTTCATGTTTATTTTTTCAGTTCCTATACTCATAAAAATTTTCCCATTTCCTATATTTATACAGCTTTCAAATCACTAAAAATGAGGGAACATGCACCCACCAAGAAATGGCATAGTGAAGGAAACACATTGCAGAAACCATAGCAAAATTGTGTTTCATCTCATTTGGGGCTTTGTCTGCTTGAATAAAATCTCTTTAGCTCTGAGTGTTCCTTTTTTTCCCCCAACCTGCCAGTGCAGTGGAGATTGAACTTCTATGCCCATAGATCAATGATATCTGAAGTGACAATTTAATTCCCTCATATCTGGACAGTTATTTTTCACTATGACAGCAAACAAAAGGGGAACATTTCTGAGCAAGGTTTGTTGGAGCTCAATTCTGTGCAACAGCATTTCCTCTGATTATTTTTTTCAAGACTAATTGTACTGTTAGCTCTAGACTATTCCCACATAAATGTGTAAAACTCCAGGGTGAAGAGTTAGAACTAGTCATGGATGCTGTTTAGAGTCAGAGTGTTATTAGGATCCCTTTTCAGAATGCAGGTACTTCAAAATAAGGTAGTTTTTTCTTTATTAGATGAGATGCCAATTTCACAAAGAAAGTATCTCAGGGCACAGAGCTAGGCCTCCCTTGGTAAATGGATAATCTCCATTGATGGAGGCAAAGACAACGCTTGGCATCCAGCTTCTTTATGCCAGGACCAGATTTCAAATCTGCAGAAGCATTTTGGTCCGAATCACGTTCAGAAAGTAGCATATATAAAGCAAATGTCAACAGAAGCATCTTGATGAGAATTTGTGATTAAGATGCTGTCAGGTAGCTGCAAATGGTTTCCTGCTGTCGGTTTCCCTAGGTATCATCTTCCTCTTCTCTCTACCCCTATACACAAAAGAGGACCAGGACAGTACTCACCAGTGGACGCTCTGCCTCAATCATGTTTTCAACTTCCCTAAGTAGAAAGCAGAAAATAAATAAATCAGGAAAGTGACTGTTCCCAAAGTTGCTTGGTTTTTTTAGGTGTTTTTTAAGCAGCCACTTGAACTTTCCAAGCAGCCAGTGGTGTGGGCTGGCTTCCAGCATTACAGCTGCAGGCTCTAGGGGTAGCTTTTTCCCAGTTTGAGCTGAACATCCCAAGTACCATTTCCAGGACGGCTGCTGCCTGGCTTACCCCTGTAAAGAGCCTTGGTAACAGTGAACTGGAAGTAAAACAAAAGTTATTTGGGCTTAGTAAATGACTAATGGTTTGTTTGCAAAGGATATCCTGCAAGCAGTAAGCTTCTCCAAAGACAATTCAAAGCAAGTTCTTGTTACTCTATAAAGTAAGCTTGTGGAAATGAATTTGCAGCTTGGAGTTTCTAATGAGGTTAAGAAAATAAAAAGCAGGGTGTAGCAAACTGATAACATGACTTTAGTAGAGTAGCGAGGTCATTCCATCTATGTGGCCACATAAATGTCTCTGCAACTTACTCTGACAGACTTCTTTTCTCTGAGAAGACCCTGAGGATGAATTCTCCCTCCTGGTGGGGTTCATATGTGGATGGGATGATGACATACTCGCTGGGAGGTAACCGGAAGCGCTCAGAGATTTCTCGCATGTTTATGTAGGTCTTACTTCTAGCTTTGGAGGCATTGTAGAGGAAAAAATCCTTCTGCAAGTGGTGCTTAGTACCATGCATCTGCAGAACAAATGAGTCAATTTGTCTTCAAGGAAGTCTTGCCCAGGTGGGTTGCCATGCATGGCTGGGACAGAATATACAGGGAGCAGCAGCTTAGCAGGCAGGGAGCTGAGGAGTGGTGGTAGCTGGTGGCAGGTACAGAGTCTGTCACTTTTAAGTTGCTACTGACTGAGTCTAGTTGGCTTCTCCAGGGCCCACCTGCAGATTGTGTGGCTGACTTCTGCTGTGTAGGCATTTGTGTCTGACTCTTTTGCTAGATGCTGACTTGTGTGTAACAAAAGCTCAGCCACTTTCCTTGGAGGGTGTGTGGCAAGGAGTGGTGTAAGCAAACTCCTACACACAGAGTGGAAAAGTGAAGGTGCTTTCAGTGGAAACATGTCCTTGTCTAGAAAAAACATGAGTTCTGTATCTGCTGAACAAATGTGATAATCAAACATTGCGTTAGCTCAAATATGAAAATTAAGCCAAGAACTGTGGGCTAAGAACAATTGCCGGCTTTTTTTTAAAAGAAATAACTGTCTGTAAGATAGTTGGCAAAAACAACATTCAGACAGTCAACTTCATGCTTTCCAGGTAACAGCCTTTAAGGTGAGCTTTTTAGCAAAACTTGTGATGCCAATGATTCAGCTAGTGTCAGGCTCAAAAAAAATGTAATCTGTGTACTTTTAATAAGCTTTCTTCAATGTCCGAAAATACCATTAATTTTCTAAACAAATTCTAAGACTACAGAGAAAACTGTGTCTGCAGAATGTAGACCATTTGTATTATTTTTAGGAGGAAATGCAATTGGCTTAGGATGGTTCTGCATGGAGTGCAGAGGCTAAGTTCTCAGAGGCACTGCTTCCTCCACCTCTCACCAACTGTGCAAGTGATGGCCAGGCCACCATATAAGAGAAAATAAACACTGAGGAGAAATCCAAGTGGAAATGGGGTGCGAGTGACAAGGAAGTCAAAATTACTCACAAAATGTTACTAATAAACACTCAAAGCAAAAATGTTAGCAGTTCTACTGCAGTTACATCCCTGAAAACAAACTTGATTGGGCAGTCTCCTGCTGACTTACTGACAGGCACTACAGTAACACTAGCTGTGGGTATACACCAAGATGTCAATGTGGCTCCGTTCTGCTCATACCTCTTTGGGCACCTTAGGAAGAAACAGAGAGAAGAATCAGTCAGAGCTGAAAAGGAGTCTGCATGATTATAGGTCATACAGAACTGTTCTGAGGACACAGTAATTAAAATGTCCCTAGTTAGATAAGCACTGTCCCTCTTCCTTTCTAGGTTTCTTGGCATCTACATGAAATCGGCTAAAATCTGAACCAAATTTGTTTGTGCAAGGGACTGAGTAAATTGACTTTTTCATCAAGTCAATAGCAGGGACAGAGGTTAATTGCTACATACGAATCTTGGATGTCTGTTTCCTTTTTCACACTCTTCTGCCAATTAAATGCTTAGTTTCAGAAAGGACAAAAGGAAGATTGAAGACTATATGGGAAAGAATATGCTAAAATCTGGCATTAGGTCACAATAAAAACTTAAAATGTGTCTTACTTAATAGATGGGTAAACCCTAATATTACTATGGTATGAGCAGTTAGACTTGAATTTACTTCCTCTCTTTCAGACTTTATGACTCCTTTACAAGGAAAAATTGCAATTGATGTAATCAGCCTGAATGATTCAGTGACTCTTGATAGATGCATACTGTCAGGATTTGCACCACAGTGCAAAGAGCGAAATCTAGAGCTGTTACCTCATAGATGGCAAAGCCAATGGTGTATAGGTTGGCTCCCAGCTTGCGCTCTTTCCTCCTGTTTTTCTGCATCAGTGCGACAAGGAAGCTGCAGATAACCTCTTCATCCTCAGGATCATCATCTTCCTCCAGGAGCTTCAAGCGATACTGGGGATTGGTCCAAAATGTATCTGTGAAATCCCACCAGCAACCCAAAGAAAACACATAAAGTTTCAGTCTTCTAATAATTCATGATCAAAGAGAACTTTTAAGTTCCCTGCCTATGGCTCCTGAGGGAAAGGTTAAAATTGGGCTAAGACATATATGTTTTGGTTTTTTTTACACATTATGGCTGTTAGTTCTAACAACTGCATAGCAAATGAAGATATATGGAGAACTGTCATCTCATAAACTTCCAAAGTCCCTAAACCTATCGCTAATCCACAAAAGTGAATTTCCCTATGTGAAATCTAACTGTTAGGGTGAAATTTATCCCTTTTACTTGGGGCACTATGAAGTGTTTGAACAATGATTTATCTTTGCCAGGGCTGCCTTTTTGGGCTTACGATGTTCTGTTACAGCATAGTGACAGAAGATTTCCAGCCACCAGTCACATGCCTTGTCCACTGAGGAAGCAAGGCTTTTCCTATAGCTGAGCACTAACTAGGCTGTGGTATGACTTAGCCTTTGGGATCTAACCTAGTTCCCATCAAAGAAGCCGTATCTCTCAAGATCCTTTGCTCACCTGGATAATTGCGGCAACCTCCAGCTGAGCAGCCTCTCACCCAGCGTCCTTCATTGACTGACACAGTCCAAGTCTGGAATTTATCCGCTTCCAGAGCATCAGGTGTGAGGTTACAGATCTCAAGCTTTGTGAAGTGCCTCATGAAATCTTGAAATGAAATCCTGGAGGAATTGAGGGGAAATTGAACACAAATGCATTTACATGGTTGGCAGTTTTCTGAAAGACCCTGGGGAGGTGGAGGATGGTGACCAGCAGCACTGTCAGTACTGGGACAAGTTTGCAGTGGGAGTGCCATGTTTTCCAAATGCTTTTAGTCTGCTGGTTGGTCAGTTACCACAGGCAACTCCAAACTCAGGGAAACTGAGCTGAGAGGATGATATGTAAGAAGGGTGATGGAGAGCTTGTGGAAGTGTAGCATAATTAGAAAGACTGTGTTGATGGCACTGAATAATCCCTGGCAGGAGAATAAGAGCATCACAGAGCAGGATTTATTGAGAATATGAAGAGGAGCAGAGATCACTGCAATGGTTTTAGCAGATTTGTAGTAGTGCAATGTCATTCACTTTTGCTATGATTGTATATTTCCTAAAGAAGCACTGGCTTTTGACTGATGATCTCACCAGAACTCCCCATCCTCTGCGACCTTGTGCTGCAGGCGGATTTTCTCTTCTTCGTCAACAGAGTCCCACACCTCTGACCTTCAAAGGAGTAAACAAGTTAGCTTAGGATTTGCAATGCAGTTTTCATTAAAGTTTCTACGCTTAAGCCTCATAGAGTGAAAAATCAAGAGTCATCTTGCTACCTCCACAAAATTTTTCCTTTGTAAGCCTTGCAGCTATTTGCTCTTGAGGCTGTCCTCTTCTCCACATGCCCAAAGAAGAGAAGCAATTGTCCTACTTCTCTCTGCTTTCCTCTTAGAATTCCTCTCAGCAGCTCTCAAACATCTGCTGAACTGTGTTAATTTTACACAGCTTGAAGAATAAGGTGTTTGCACGTTATCATTGCTGGCGTACCTATTGAAATTCCTTTAAGGAAAACACTGACATTTTGCTTCATTCATTTTTTTCATAACTTAAAAGATTTTTCTACTATCACATCTTGTTTTGAAAATGGACAGTAAAATCAGATTTAATGCATCTTTAGACTGGGCTCTGTCTTAATTTCCATTTATTAAAGCCTCTCTTAACATCTTATTAGGTACTCTTTTTTCACAGCTTCAGCTAAGAACTCAATCAACTTCAAAATTACAACAAAGACAATTCAGATACCTCATCACTGAATATCAGGATTATGCAAAACCTGCATAAAGGCAAATAAAGCTGCAACTTCTTTTTCAAATCATGTGAAGCTCTGTTTTACTCACTTGTCACTCCAGTCTCCATTCCATTCCACCTGGCCCCAGGGGTTTCTCAGCCTTACCAGACGTATTTTCTCCCCTTTAAATACTGTCTAAATGAAAAAAGAATGCAACAAGAATAGACTAAGAGTAGGTTCAAAAGGAAATGTTCTGCCTGTCACCTCACCTTCAGGTGATGGTGCTTTTCTGGGCCACACCCCAGCCTGATCTTGGGGTGACTGTGGCAAAACTGTAAGACCAGGAGGTGGCTGCCTGTGGCCATCTTTGCCCAAGTGGGCATTTCCCCAGAGAGCCAAAACTTGGACGGATTTCTTTGTCCACAAGATTGTTACTTATTTGGATATCATTTTGTTTCCTTAGCTCACAATCGCTTTTCTCGCCTCTCACGGCGTTGCTGCGGTGCGCGCAGGGCGGAGGCGGCTGCAGCTGCTGCCCGTACCTCTTCCACGGCCGTCACGGAATAGGCGTGGCCTTTGACCAGCCCGCAGGACATCCGCGTCTCGTACTGCATCGGCACGATGGTCTGTTAGACAGAGACAAAACCCCGTGGGGCTCACACAAAGCTCAGCTGCCTGCCCGCTGCCACCCAGGGCTTTCTGTCACCTGTTCAGGTGACAGGAGTCTTTGCCTTGTTCTCCTCTTTGTGTTTGACAGGGTGGTCAAGCTAAGCAACCATAGAATTCATGCTGATGTTTAGAAAGGATGGAAGTATGTACTAAAAATGGAAAAAGTTGATAGTATCAATTGGAAAGGATATTTTCTGATGTCTTTTCCTCTTTTTTTGTTGGCTATTGCTTTTTGCACTTGGAACATGACAGGATATGGCATTCTTAATCAAATAATTAGCTTTTTGTATTAGGACTATTCAGTCTTTTCTAGGATAGTATGCTCTTGTATAGATTAGTAAAGTTATTACACATGAACTGCTTAAACATCAGAGCAAATCAACACCTAGAATACTTTCATCTTTCCACATGGCTGCTATCTTATCATAATGACATTTAAACACCCTATATAATACACTGTTCCTGCTAACAGACACCATTTCATTGCATCTAGCTTTCAGGAAGGGCGTAACCATGTTGATCAGGTGTAAATACATTTGCTGTCTTAGTCATCAGCTTTTAGTGTGTCTGATGGACTTTTACTTGTTTATCTGTGAGATCTGGAATTGGGAGGAAGATGGCAGATCCACACATCCTGCTGTCCTTGCACTAGAGATCTCCAGTATAGGTGAGAGGGGCAGATCCTGCCACATGCATGTGGACTACGAGCAGAACTTCCCCTCTTTCTTTGTGTCTGTTGCTGAGAGATGTCTGCAAGGTCCTGTCAGTAACTCTGCCACCCCTTCTTGACACATCTGATGGTATGCAAAAGGCAGGGCTGGATACCGAGGGACAATTAGTAAGGTCACACAGAAATGTTCTCAGCTTATACTGGGAGGATCTCATTCAAATATTTCCTGAATGTTGCAATGGTTTTCCATTAACCTTTTCTCTTCTTTCTGTTTAAGAACATTAACTCTTGGTGCCCTGGCCGACTTCTCAAAGTGCAGATTTTGAAAGTGTTTCAACTTTCTCTTTTCATCAAGAGTCCTGATTTTTTTCCTGGTGATGGTTCAGGAATATGCAATAACCAGCAGCACAACAGCTGCTGGGGAAACAAATATAGAAAGGGTTTTGCAATCTTCTTATAGTAGACAGACACTGAAAAGGAAATTCTCCTCCCAGACATGGGTGGTTTGGGCAGCCATGCTTACAAAACAAGATAGTCATACGGGTCTCTCCCAAAGAATGACACCATTTCAGTCTTTTAGGAAGAACTAAATTTGAGTATCAGAAGAGAAGAAATCAGCTACTTCAGCTGAGAATGCAGAAGAAATTTTGCAGAACCAAAAGTTTTGAGTGATGTAATTGTGGAGGATTTTTCTTTGGTGGTTTTTCTTTTTGTTTTTCTCCCACCCTTCCCCACACCCCTGTAAAACCCCCTGATGTAATTTCATTGTCATGGAAATGCAGCTCCCTAAAGGGCAAGGTATGACAGCTGCCTGACACAGAGAAGGCAGCAAAGTGTCCCTCTATAGATTTGAATACTTCTAAGTTGTCCAGTATGGAATTTTTTCTCAGAGGGTTTAACATCCCTCTCTTTATTTTGCTAGCTACTTAGGTGGATATGCTGGAGTTACTTTGTATTTCATCACACATATAAAGCTCAACATGCTTTTACTTTTGCTTGTTAGGCATTTTTAATGAGGACTTTGCTGGCAGTAATCAAAAAAGAGCATCCCTAGAGCAGACTCTCCTCCATTAATGGGTAGAGCACTCTGTCTCAAAATAAGTTGACAAAGAGCTTTTTTACCTGGAGCAAGAACTATGCAGAGCTTGCCTTTTCTTTCTTTGACATTCCATGCACACTGAAGGATCTTATTCTATGCTAGTATTTTAATTTTTTCATTCTCTCCGCTCTATTCAAGCAAGAGACTTGATAAAATCCACTAATAAATTTCTTGTTCTGCAAATTTTAAGCCTGTGTCACAAGCCAACAGCCCTTTAAAGCCTTAGTATCAGTGAAGCTCTCTAGTATCAGTCACTGTGTTGGAAAGTTCTGAAGTCTTTTAACACACTTGTCAAACAGCATCCATAAGAACATTTTGTTAGTGTTAATCTAAGGAACCAAATAAGGATTTAAAAGCATATGTTTCTCTAACTGTTTGTAGATAAAAGCATTCTGAAGTCAACTGCTTAGGAGACATACCCAGGCTGGCCTCTCCTCCATGCCCTGGTAGTCTACAGTGGACTGTGTCATCTGTGCGTTTTCTTGATTCTTCACCATGCGAGCAATCAGTTCCCCAATGTCGGTCCGAGGAGCTGATCCATAGCAAAAGCCTAGGTCATCCTGGCACAGAGAATGGGAGAAAAGTATCAAGCAGGAAGAAGAGTGGTAAAAGATAGCCTACATTACTTCTCTTTTTCCTCATTATGTCCATACTTATCTAGAGTGGTCAATAACACTGTTTGTTCTCCTGCCTTAACTGAAATATCATACTCCATAAAGTATTAATCTTTTAACTTTTAAATTTACCACAGTAAGTGAAGACAGTCTGAGGTCATGTTGACAATAAAATGTTAATTTGCACAGTTAACATCTTTGAAAAGAAGATTTGTGTCTTAACAGAGTTGCAGCATCCTCATTCTAACCTCATTTCACTGGGTTAGGGTCTTGAGGGGGAAGGGGTGCTGGTTTTGCTGATTGCACCTGTTCTTTTGCAGCTCCACGTTCTATTTCTCTATATTTCCCTTTTGGTAATCACTGTTTCCTAAAGGCTGGTCTCTAGGGGGGATTACTCCATCTCCATGAAATGGATGTTTTCTATGTGGCCTAAACCAAGCAGTTCCAAATGTGGTATATATTTGGTTACAAATTGAGAGGTCCCTCTCCTCTGCCATTTCTTATCTGCAGAGCTGATATGGACTCACATCAATGGAACTGGCCATGAGGGATCCTCTGTCAATGGCATGTTTCATGATTTTATAGATATCTTTAGGGGCATCCTTTATCTCGTAGAACTCTGTGACTCCTCCGGTGAAGTCCTCCATGGCTTCAGTGGTGTTGCCTCCCTTCAAAGCTTCATATGACCCATGGAGTCTTGAAAAGAGATAAGGTTCTTTTACAAAGGCATGGATGTCTACCTGTATATTTATATCCATCTTTTGTGTGTATAACTACAGCTATGTTAACACACATACTAAAAGCCCACAAACCATCTGTCTGGTAACTCACAAGTTAGAAGTTCTAAAACGTGCCACTTGCACACATAGAAAAAAAAAATCTGCTGAAAATCAAGTGTAGATTTCTGACTGAGTAGCAGAACTTCCTAAAAAATACACTTTAACCCATCCCCAGCTCCCAGGCATGGGAAAAGGCATTGCTGTATTCAGGTTATTCTGTGTGCTTCTCAAGGCTGTGTGCAGTGGTTTAAGCACCGCCCCAGGCAGAGCCTTGCTGGGGAGCCCGGCACAGCCCCGCAGTTCACTTTACTTTGCATAGGCCTTTTCCAGGAGGGCGCTCCAGAACTCGTTGCGCTGGGAGGACTTGGTGAAGACCAGCTGGTTGTTGTAAGTGGGTAAGCAGTCATCGATGACAACATCCACCCAGTCTCCATAGCGCCAGAACTGCTCAAAGGCAAACAGAAAAAAACCCCAAACTGGATTGACTTGGTGCAGGGAAGGAAAGACTGGCTGAAAAGTCAGGCTGAGAGAGGAGAAGTGTGGAAATTAGCTGCTGCTTCATAATGTGGCCAGAACTGATGGCTACTGTGAGGGAAGCAGCTGTACTGAATTCCCGTGGGCAAAAATGCTCGTTAAGAGAACCCAAGGAAATGTGGAAAGCAGTCAATCTTTTCCGAATAAGAAGTGCTTCAATAACTTGTTTTGACAGACCAGCTGTTTGTGAGCCTAAAAATAGCTGCTCTTGCCAAGTGCCCGCATGTCTGTGCTGAATGTAGTGCTGCATCTGAGCAGTGAGGCAGGACCAGGCACCTGTTGCTACTCCTTACACTACAGTCTGCAAATGCTTCCTTGGTGGGTTAATGCTCCCTAATTGCTTTTATTGGCCTGCCCTTCTGTGACTGCCCTGATGGAAGCGTTTGGAGTGAGGCAATTCAATCCCTTATTCCTCCCTGCTGTCACTCATGCTTCCAAAAGGTGGAGAAATAGGGAAGAGCATGCCAGGAGCTGAGCCTTGGGTAAATGCATATGCTTACCACTAGACGGAGTGACTCACCTGGAAGTGAAAGATGCCAGCATAGTTTTGTATAAAGGACTGGTCATGAGGTATGACTCTACAGAGTAGTTTTTTATTTAGTGTCAGGCAAGCAATGGCAGCCAGAAACCAGCAGTTACCTGTAAATGAGCAGAAGCAGCAGACAAAATGAAGGGAGAGAGCAACTAGAATCCAAGGGAAAACCTAAGATACTGCAAAGTGGCATATTAATTCTCAGTAGAGCGTGATTCTCCATGTGTTCTGCAGTACTTTAGCACTTTATCTATTTGTGCTCTAGAAATGCTCATGGGCATTGTCTGTGGCTGGGTACACACAGGCTAAACAGATTATATTCCCTGTAGTTTGGAAAAAGCCTAAAATCTGATGAGCACCGTTACCTGCATTAAGAATTCCCTGTGTCATGTGAATATTTCACTAAAAGTGCTTGCCTAGATTGCTACTAAGCAGATGTCAACAATTTGCTAGAGAGTGAAGGAATCACTGAGAGAGAGGATTTCAGATATCACCTTGGAAATGAAAGAAAATTGAGTGAAAGCTAAACCATGATGCAGAATTTTAAAAGTGCAGAATTGAAATAAGAATTTCATACCTAATTCTCCTTGGCAGATATCTGTTCTGTTGGCTCCCCCAATAATAAACCGTGGATTCTCACAGATCTCCTGTAAAACAGAAACAGACGGACGAGCAGGAAAAGTGTGCATTATGATGCCTGTTTAGCACAGAAGTAAAGGCAGTTTTAGAACATTTTCCTATAGGATAGCTTGTGTTATCAAAACCTCTCTCACAGTTTTCCTCTGCAAAGTTTCACTATGAAAATGTTTTGGAATCTGGATGTTCCAGACTTGAGTCAGAGTTTTCCCCGTGCTTCTACAGGGTCTAATATTGAGCCTGGGGTGCTCCCTGTGTACTGTAATGTGAAAAAACATTGAAATGAGAGGAAGTGGGGAAATTTTTTTTTTTTTTTGCACAGTAATGAAAAAAACCGGAACATTGGAGGAGACAGGAGAGCAAGTAGATGAAAAAAACATCAGGGGACCAGACTAAATTATTTTAAAGTGATCTTATGTTCAATTTGCAGTAACTGGTATGTTGGAGCATTAAAAGGGATGAAGAATGCATTTCATTGGGAATGAACCCCAGCATTACTCCTTCTCAAAATTAAAGGATCAGATGTTTAATTACCAGAAATAATCAGTTTCTGGTTAAGAGATTTTATTCTTTTCCTCACATTGCAGTATTTAATTGGCAAGGCTGCATTCAAAAATGTGAACAGATATAATCTGTATCTGAGAACAGGAAGGTCTTCTTTCATCCTGCACATTGCCCAATGTATTGGGTTTGTCTGCATTTATACTAGAACAGAATGGATACAAGATGCTGTACAGGCATAAATAATTAAGACATTTCTGCAGGGAGGGAAGGCAAAATGCAGCAAGTGAGGTGAGACAATTGCAGGCTTACATAGCCCTTTCCTACAATGGGTAAAGACTGTAGTGTAGAGGAAAACCAAGGAAAGTAGTGGCTGTAACCTGTCCTACAGAGTAAAAAATGTCCCTGCTTTATTCCATCTGTCAGACTGAAATACTGGTATGGAGAAGAATAAGAAGACACAATTTCTGGATGCATGTCTTATGAGGGTAAGGAACGAAAGATATTGCAACCTGAAGAGCACTGTCCTGAGCAGCTGCAAACTGGGAAGAAGACAAAGTGTAGTCCAAGAGCCTAATCTGTTGAAAGATGCTGGGAATAGAGTGGGAAGGAGACCAAACAATTGACAATTGCTTGTGTGGCAGCACACACAGGAAGCTGATGCTACTTCTATAGTCTAAAGCTCTTTACTCATATCATCGGGGTAGCCCTGGATTTTCTCAGACTCATGTTTCAGGTTTAGTAGTTTTACTTGGCTGAAACCCTTTTTTTTTTCTCCTTCACAGTTATCAGAAGAGTTGCTTTGATGTAAGTACCTGGACTAAACTTCCAGCCAGACAGAGAAACCAACTTCCGCCACCCTCCCTACCACCAACCCCTGCAGGCACTTTATTTTCCTCGAGGGAAGGAATGTAGGGATTGTCCTTTTATTTTGGGCCTTGGTCAGCTGTTGGGGTCCAATTCTGTCAAAGCAAATGTTTGAGATGCCTTCATGCCTTTCTCCATTCGCTTTGTTGAAAATATTCTTCCTCACATTGCTGTGGTGCTCTGCTGTAAACTAGTCTGAGATGCCAGGTTTTTGGTTTGTGTATTTTCCAACTCTATTATTGTGTTTTGGCTCGATCTTGCTCTTATTGTAACTAGCTTTGAAATCCAGCAAGCTGGGTTTTAGTTGAAAGTAGTCAGGTGTCAGCTACCTAAATGTTTCCAAATATTAAATGTACAGTGATGTGTTACTCAGAGCCATTTATTGCATCTTGAGGTCATTTGTTTTGTAGGATGCTTGGTAAACGAATGCAAAGAAGAGAATCATGCAATTGTCATATAGCCTGGTTTAGCTATGACAGAAATGCTTTTCTTGCATTTCTTTATGGGGCCAGGTGTGTAGCACACTGTGGATATGATTTTAATTTGTATTTCCCTAGGTCATCTCCAGCTCTCTAGCTGTGCTGAGTACAGCTGAAGTTGCAGAGAAAGGTATCAACATCTTCCAAGGCTGAAGTACTCAGTCAGCAAAGTGAGACCACCTGGTGTCCAAGATGCAGGGGGCAGGTTTGTCCTTCCTGTCTACCTGGCTGGGCAGGGGATTGCTCTTCATCTCCTAGGTCAAGTTATCACAGAGCATCCCAATAAGCATTGAGGCAACCATTCATCTTTTAAAAGAGCATCCTCAGATCTGAGTGCCTCAGACTGCCTTGGTGCTATCCAAAGACCTTTGTGTTGCACTGGGTTTATCCAGTTCAGACTGTAATTTCATTACAATGAGTCAGTTACAGCAAGGAAAACAAAGAATCCCAGGAAAAACTTAATAGTGGTGCATGCTGCTTTCTGGGAAGAGATTACTCACGAGTCAGTTGGAAGGGAGCACTGGAAAATGCAAAGGCAGCATGCAACTAAAAATGGCATTTGACCTTTGTTACGTTTTCATTAGCTTTTCTTCTGTTTCAGAAAGAAATCTGCCAGTCAGCTTATACTGCTGCAGCAAAAGGCATTCATTCCTTTAAAAACTGCCATTAATAAACTATGGCATTCCAAGTAAATTCCCTAAACAGATCCTATCAAACAGAGGAAGGATCTTTTTCAGCCTAAGACAATTTATAGCCTCATTGTCTCTTGGTCTCTTGTGGTCTAGACCATGCTTCCAAGTGGCTGTGCTGTACACTTCAAGGCACAGCTCAATGTCAGACACCAAGCTGGTTTTAGATTATCTTCATCTGAAAGTTCTACTTTGGTGGAACTAAGTGCCATCTTTGCTTTGTGGTACGACCTGCACAGGCCCACATTTTGTGATCACTAAATGCAAACAGCTTCATGTGTGTGCAGTAGGTGTTTTGACTAATTAATTTTCATTCCAAGCAAAATCCAATAGCTTGTTGACTTGATTTTATTTATATTCATTATGAAAAGAAAACTCCTGGTAATTTTCTGGCTGTGTAGAGGATCACCACAGGGAAGCCATTGAATGTGGTGGTTAATGCTGTGACTTGGCTGTGAGCAAGGAGAATGACAGTGGTGCATTTGAAAGCACAGTGTCACAGTAGAGCCTTCCTGACAATACCCTGGTGTCATTAGATCCAGACAGGACTGCAGCAGGACCTCTCAATACTGTGTGTTATAACAGACTCTTTCTCAGCTCTCAAAGATCAGTGGCCTCATCCTTGCTCTCAGCTGTGAGAAATTCCCACAGGCAGCATAGCTGTGAGAGTTACAGCCAGTCAATGAGCTGGATATAACCTTCTGCAGGTGTAAACAGCTCTTTGGGCTTCTCTTAACTGCTGTGGGTGAGCAAATAATTTAATATTTTGCATTAACTGAGGAGGATTTAATTTTCCCTCTATGTATCTAAACCGTAGTCCTGCATACTCTGAATGGAAACACTGGAGGGAGGGATCCTGCAGTCTTTACTCAGGAAAACTTTCAGGGCTCTCCCTTGGCTTTTGTCTGAATTGAGTATTAGGAGGTCTTGTGTGTGCATTCATATCGTGGCACGGCAGTCACTAGCTGGGTAGAATTACAAAGGCCTTTTTGCTGCCCCCATGCCAGGGCTGCCAGCTGCCCTGCATGGCACCTGTCCTTCTGTGGGTAAGGGACAAGGCCAGTCCTCATGCACTTGCTGCCCTCGCAGCAGCAGAGGACAAGAATTTTGGGAGGTGACAAAGGAGGACCTCTGGGTAGAGGGGCTTTGATACAAATTGATGAGGTGACATGACTAAGGTGACTCAAGGGGCCAGAGAGTCAGGAATAGGTTGTGTATTTCCCAGCCCTCTGTTTTAAGTGGGATCATACAGCATATTGATCACTTGTTTATTTGCTGTGTCTGGAGGTATGTGGCCATAAAATGCCACAGGGAAAGGATCTAGACTGGTCAGCATTAGGAGATTCTCTCAAAATTTCTGAACTGTGAAGTGTTCTTTTTTTTTCTTTTAGAGTATATTATCTAGTTTTATTCAGCTATTCACCTGAATTTCGAAGTGATTAAAATTATCACTTTATAAGAGTATATTTTATATACTCTTTCTTTCTTTGGGGGGGAAAAAACCCATTGCAATTCAACAAGAACAGAAGTTGTCCATATCTTTACAGACCGTTGCAAAACAGTGTGCAATTGAGTATGGGTTCAATGTGCTAGAGTATATGTTCAATAATTGCTTTAACGGCTTAGCAAAATACTCTTTAGCCCACTATTATTCTTTCATATTCACTGGACTTCATAAGGTCTTGGCTTGTGTCAAATAAAAACCCAAACCAGCTTTGGGTTTGAAGTTTACTTATTTTAAGTCTTACAATGGTCCCCAGCCTGTGGCTGCTACATGAATAATAAGTCCAAACTTACATATTCATGAGTGACTTAAAGAATTAAGACCCTGGTGAGAACCTTTCCAATAATAACAGCTTGATCTGTGCCTGCACAGCTATATAAGACACATCTGAGGTTATATTGTGCATTTATTTTGTTTTGATGCTTTCCAATGTGACACTTGCAGTCTGTCTGTTGTGGAGTGCTGGCACTCATGCTCTGTACTGCTGTACAGTTTTCCTCTGTAGAAAGAGGGGAAATCCCATCCCTTTACATGTCTGACTTGGGGCTGCATTTTCGTCATTCACATGCTTTTCCAGAGGCTGATGCAGCCGTGGTGATGATGAAGGAATGACAAGGCACAAGTGTACAGTGCACAGCAGATGGGGGACTCATTTTGATCCCTCCACATTGCTCAAGTTGTTGTTGTTGTGACAGAAGCACGTGGCCTTCCTCCACATCTGTAAGAACCACCCACAAGAGCTTGTGGTCTTTTGCTACAGTCAGTTACACTCCTGTGGTCAGTTTTATTTTATCACCACTGACTTTGCCACTGAAGCACAGATTTGGGCTCAGGGAAAGTATGGCAAATTTATAAAAGAGGTTGCCAAAAACTGCCAGAGAGAAGTAAGTGTGGAGGCTCCTCAAACAACACCCCTACTGTCAGACGGGATGGCAGGGGCCAAGGCACTGTCCCAGGGGCTGCCTTGCTGCAGGGGAGCAGCTGCCCAGTAAATATGACAGGGAAAAAGTGTAATTCCTCCTGAAGCAGGAGGGAGAATCAAATGGGAACTGAGGTATTAGTCCTCTGCCAGTGAGAGAGATGGAGAAAAAAACAATGAAAAAGAAGAGGAAGGCTGCTTGAGGAATATCCACAAAATAGGAAAACTAATGGGATTACTAGCCAAGACTGGGTCTTCATAGTGATTAGAGTACCCACATTCATGGTAAGTGGGATAAGCAATGCAGGGAGCAACTGACTAAAAGTATGTTTTAGACCATAACCTGTCCTTTTATTTTCACACATGAGAAAAATGGCAGAATACCAAAATAAAGGTTTAAGTGAAACAAGTTAGTGTTAAAAAAATTAAGCCTCAGCAAACCCAGTAACTTGTTGTGGAACAAGGAGAGTTTTTCTTTGGTACTTTCAGACAGGAAAATCCCAGGCAAACCATGCAAGAAGTAAATTAAATTCCCAATATTTCTTTCTAAATATTTCATTACATCTGTCTTGTTGTTGTTGTTTCATTCTGTTTTATTGCATTTTAGTCATTATATACACATTGCCTTTCACAGCCCTAGCTAATTATCTCCCAGGAGAGCTCTAAGGAAATACATTTCCATTTTATTCCACCCGCCTCTCCAACACACAATTTCTGCAAAAATGTAAGCTCAGGGTGTATACTTCAATTTCCAGAAAAAGGCAATCAACAAACACGTTACTTACACGTGGTCTTTTCCATTCGAACTTGACGGGGCTTTTCTGGCTGTAGAAAAGGGAAGACTCATTTGGTGGGAAATCAGGATCTTCATAGAGAATGTTTTTCTCCAGGCACTTCTTGTGAAGCTCTTCATAGGTCTTCTCCTTTACGCTGATAATGGGCTGATTGCGACTGATGATGGCAGAATAAATGCCCCCTGTGCCCCCTCCTGCCCCCTCCGTAGTGCCAATGGTGGTGCTGGGGACTGACCCCGCCGCTGTTTGCCGAGCCACGGCTGCATTTATGGCGGTCGGCATGGGAATCCGGCTTACAGCAAATACTGAGAAACAGCAGGATCTTGCAAAATGGAAGGAAATTTCAGAAAAGGGGAAGTTGCTGTGCAAACCGTCTTTTCTGTCTGTGGAAAGCCTTCTAGTCAAATTTGCCAGCCAGAAAATTCCATGTGGTTTTGCATCCTCTTAAAGGACAGTATTTTGTCATCAGAAGTTGGAATTTGTTTTCTTGATGTGAGACAAGACGATCAGCTGGCTCACTCCCGTACCCGAGTTGTATCTACAGCGTGCGTGTGTGCTGTCCTGTGTAAGTGTCCAGAAGGGACAAGCTTTAACTGTGAAATCTAAAAATAACTACATGCAAAGAGAGAGGGAAAATGAGAGGGGGCATTAGTCTCCTGTGCAGCTTGTGCCGAGGCCAGGCATGTTCCTGGGACAGGCTCTGTGTGTGGGCTGACTCCTGGTGCAAGCAGTTCATCTTTTCCTTAAGTAGAGGGAACAGTGAAACTGGAAGCTAAATCCCTGCTGGCTTGGGAATCTTATGTACTAAGTACTGCCAGGCAATGGTCCCAACACTACTGAAAGAACTGCTGTACTTGACTTGTTTCTACCCTTAGTGGCAGAAAAGATAGAGACACATTTTTACTACTAGAGAAGATGATCAGAAGACACTTCTAATGGTGAAAGAGGTGCTATTTGATGCTACTGAGGTCAGGTCAATACCTGCCAGCTGGTTTTGGTTCCTCTGGAGAGCAGCTTGGCAACACTAAGATTCACCTTGTAATAGATAACTCCCATGAAAAAGCAACTTTTTATATAGGGGCTGAGAAGTTTATAGAGCCTAGTGTGGAAACTGGGCCATTCTCTGTATGTTAGGATATACCACAGTTAAAGGAAACATCTGACTCTGCACATTTATTTTTTCACACAACAGTGGGATAAGGACAGATTCACAGCCTCTGTGAGCAAAAATCTAAACATATATTGCTTTTCTCTGTAACCCTGTCCTTTAAAAGGTGACAATATTTATACGTCAAGAAAAGCACCAAAATATCCTGATTTTTCTTTATTGGGAAGTCGTCAATCATAGGTGACATCAGTTTTATTTTTGCATAATGATACTCATTTCTGGCTCACATATACATTGCTGACCTTCTGGCCTAGGGCTATGGCATTTTCCAAAGCACTTTATTTTTTTTGGCTTTCTCAGCCATTTGCTCAGTTTACACATGTAAAATCAACAGTACAGTGGACAAACGCTAAAGCTCATTAAAGAAAACTCCCCTGGAGAAACTTTTAAAGAAGGTAATATATAGTTGGAAAGCTTGACTAACCTCTAGGAATATTAATCATCAGTCTTTTAGGCCATTTAGGTGACCTAAATCCTTTTCTTTTTATCATGGATGCAAGCCTTCTTGCACCAACAGGGCAATTGAAAAAGATTCAAGCATTTGTGAAAATAGGAATGCAATGGCTTTAGGGTGGGTTCTTCAAATGCAGAATTGATGACTTCCTCATTACATTTATATGCAAGGATTGCAGATCTCATACTTGACACTACATTGCAGGACAGCTTGGCAGAGCCACGTGTCACTCTTTGCAGGATATGCAGATAGTGAGATGCAAGGGCCTTTCACTGCACAGCTCAGCGAAGTGCTCATTTTGCAGCCTGTGCATACATTTTTTCTTTCATATTCTCCCTTCCTGCCCAGTATAGCAATGCATATCTTACATACAGAGCTCTGTTTCTGGAAGAATTGTAGGGGTATGACATTTGAGAAACTTTCTGTGGGTTGCTGAGGAGGAGCATGTGATTTGGTTCGTTTTGTTTTTCTTTTTTATTGGGAAGGTCAGCAAGTACCAGGCTATGACCAGCTGCTACTGTGAGAGCTAGCAGATCAGCCAGTGCCTGCATCTAGAATGGCAGAATTTCCCTTTCAGGAAAGGGAATGAAATCTTGCAATTTCAATCAGTATTGTTTAGGCAAGCTTTGGTCCACTTCCCTGCACTTCTTAGCATCCCGTTCACTTTCAGTGTTTTCACCTGGTTTTGGAATTTTCCCTTTTTTTTTTTTTTAGCATTTCATTTCCTTAGAATCTTCTCTACACTCTTTTTTAAACTTTCTTCCTTGATTTTAGTATTTATTTAGATCAATATTGGCAAGTTTTCGTGCTTTTCACTGCCCCTCACTTCATCTTGGTGCATTTGGTTGTAGTCACTCCATTTCCAAATTTTCTGGTTTTTTTTCAATTGCATTTTAATATATCATATCTCCTGTCCAGAGGGTTTGTTAGACTTTGTCTTCTGATTTCAAGATTTCATTCCCCTTCCTGAAAGGACTTCTCACTTCTATGCCAATGTTGCTCTTTATGTGTGTTCAGGAGTTACACTCGTTTAAAATACAATTCCTCCTTTTCTTATTTCTTACTGGACAGATGGCTTTGTTATGTAGAATTTTGGTCTTTTTTAGAGGAATTTGTAATAAAAGACAAACAGTGTTTTTAAATAGACACAATTTTCCATAGAGGAGAATGGATGTGCTGTCTAATACAAACAGCAAAACAAATTTTCAGGAATTAAATCCTTTGTGTGATGGAATTTACTGCAAGCAGAAGTACCCAAATAGCTGACCTGTTCAGAGAGTAACAATGAACTAATCTTTAGTGAACTAACCTAAAATGTTAATATTGCTATTTAATTTGTATGAAGTTTTCTCTCCAGTTGTTTTCATTAATTGTACTAAGTTATTTCTTTTGTAAAGGTATAGCAAAAAGTTATTTCCTCATTTATGCCATAAATATGTGGAAAAATAAGTGATCAATGTAAATCCTATTCTTTGAAATTTATCAGATCTAAAGACACAACTGCTAAGATTTTCAACAAGTAATTGCTACCGAAATCCACAGACATTATGAATTTCCTACCACTGAAAATCTGACCCACGAGTACTTATTATGGTGCAGATATCTTACCGAGGGCCAGAGAAAAAAAGCAAGTCATTCACTTTAACCAGATACCCTTGGAAGAATACTCACTAGTGATTCTTAACAGTAGAAAGAAGGTTGGAAGGAAAAAGGCATGTAACTTCCTTCATTATTACTTTATTTCACTTTACAATTTCAGAAATAGTAGTTAAAATATTTTATTATATTACCCAAGACAATAACACTATTCTGTCAGAAACACTGATATGCTTAAACATAGTAAGAAATCATCAATCAAAGCTTAGAGGTTGATAAAAAAATAGGGTCTGTCTTTCTTTTCACAGATGAAAAAGCTTTACTTGCTGCTGTTCTACCTGGATTAACACATTTGCATTAAGCACAACAGTACTTATGCTGCCAGTTCCCGGAGTGGAGGCTCACACTGTCTCCTGGAAGGTGCTGACAGGTAGGTCTGCAGAATAAAAAGAAGGAAGCTAAGGGTCTGGTGGGGAACAAACTATGCTTGAGTAGTCCAGAGCAGATTACTCAGTTCGTTCTCATGCTTGCTATTCCCAGAAATCTGCCCTGCAGAGGACAAACAGCAGCAGGTGGGAATGTCAGGGGGGATTAGCAACGTTACGTTACCTTTAGCTGGCAAAAATGGTGACCATCCTTCTCTGTTTCCTACGAGTTAATTTACTGATGTTTTTAGAAAATACGTCCTTATCTTACTGAAACCAATTAAATGAACTAGAAATCCAGAAAAACCAGAAACCCAACTGATGGCATGTTCAGGTTTGACTCAAAGCAGAACTGGTTTCAAAATAATATAGCTGACAAGTGTAGCAAATGGAAAAGGTAAACAAACCCTGCAGAGCAATGGGAGCCTGTGAAAAGAGATATGGAAAATCCTGAGGGAACAGGCAGGATGTAGTGAATGTGGGACTCAGGATGTCTCTGTTTTGCAAGCAAAGCAAGCATCAAAACACTCCAGTTCTGTTTGCAGAGATGGTGGGAAAAGAAGGCAAAGGAACATTAGGCCGAGTTGCAACAGAAAGGAGAAATAAGCATAAAGTGAGATGCTTAGATGCAGAATCCCAGTAAAATTAAAATTTGCTTCATAAATGCCTAGCTCAAATCTCAGCCAGATACTAAAAATTGACATGACTAAACCTTGTGTTAAGGCAGCCAAAACTCTGCAGGTCTTGGAAGATGTGGAAAAGCATAGCTCCTTCACTGGGCTGGCTTTAATCAATGACATTCAATCATCAATGCCAATTCTTTCCTAAAGGAAACTTTTTTTTTAAGTAGTACTTGCAGATGGAGGGGAGCAGTAACATGGAAACTGTTTTTATGTGAGTATAGCTGCTATCCTAAGCCAGTACTGCACCTATGAGGACCTGTGCCTTTTTGAAATCCAAGTTTCAAAGCTGGCTGTTAGGGAGCCTTCTGCACCACCCCATAACTGTCTTCTACTATTGCACAACTGACAGGCACAAGCCACCCAACCCTCACCTCCAGTGCCTGAGCTGTTTGGCTGAGCCTGCTGTTTGCTTTCCTGTGCAGACCAGCTAATTTTGCATTGTCATAAGGACATAAGGAAAGCAGAAGTTTCTGTGATCACACTGGCTGGCTCCTTCTGTGTTTGTTTTCAGAAGGCAGCTGGCAGGCAGAACTCTGGTGATAACCTCTGTGTCTGTCAGACCTGCTGATGATGCTGGCCCAGATCTCCTCAACTGCTCCAGTCTCTGAATAGAGGGATTTTCAAATACATTAAGGCCTGTGCCAACAAGCCACAATCTCACCCTATCAACTCATAGTTTTTTATTGCAAGTGAAGGCAGAACTGAAGCTTAATGCCTAACTGAAGCTAGCCTAATGCAAGTAGTATTTTGCTTATTTCCCCAAAGATACAATCCTAGTGCTATTATTTTGCTGAACAGAAAAGTTAACCAAGTCCAAATTAGTACTTTAACAGAAAAGTTGTAAGAAATGTTAGTCTGGGTGTATTAGTGGAAAATATGTTTGTTGATTTAATTGGATTCAAGTGAACATCTGAAGTCCTCCTGGTTTATTTCTCCTCATCCTTGCACTGAATGGTTTCTCTGAAGAAGTTGCTTTC